AAATAACTGCCTGGAGATACACATCGGATCCCGGATATCTTGCTTGGCATCTTGATTGGCATGCCGCGTGGATTCTTGATCGAAACGTATAAATACCCTTAAGGGCCACGCCACAAGGTAATTGAAACCAACCCTAAGCTCTTTGCATCTCCGTTTCATAGGTAACCCCGATTATTGCTAACTTAAGCATCGGAGTGTCTACCCCGAGGATCCACCTCGGGGCTTTGCAGGTCAATCCGAAGTACGGTTGCGGACTGAAGAAGGACTTCCGGTTTGGTGCAGTTACAACAGTATTATTAAAATCGTGTTTTAAATCGTAAAATCTATTAATTTTAAATATGTATTTCAAGTAAAATCAGTATTAAAATCGGATTTTCATAAAATCAATCATAAAATCGTAAAATCATGAATTTATGGTAAACTCGTTTCAAATCTCAATTTTATTTTTACAAAGATTGAAGAAGAGGCTTCCAGAAATTTAAATTCAAACATAAATTTGATCTCTGATCTTCTTTGCTTTAGGTTTGCCGCAGGGGAAGGAGAGATTGCACTGTTGTGGTGCACTGTTTCTGCTCACTGCCACTGCTAACTGCTCAGGCGCTTGCTGGCGGGATATTGGTTGCTGTTGCTCACTGCTCAAGCAAAGAAGGAAAAAATTGGTGCAAAGAGAGGAGTAGATAAGGAGAAAGGGAGCTTGAATGGAGTAAAAATGGTCGAAAAGAGGGAAAATGATAGCGGAGAAACCAAGGCAGGTGAAAGGACGGAGGGATATTCTCTTAATGGTGGTTATGTTGATACGTCAACAAATTGGATGTTTGTTTTATATATATATTAATTTTGGAGTAAAAAATTGAATGTATTTTAATTTAAATAATCATTTAAAAAATTATTTTATTTTTAATTTTTTATATTATCATATATTATGATATTAAAACTTAATTTTTGTCAAAGTTAATATAAATTTTAATTGTATATTTAATTTTATATTATATTATTTATTAAATTTGATAAATTTTTGATTTTATTAATTTAATTTTACAATTCTAATGTTACTCAAAATGATTTTAGGTAAAATGTTGACAACCTTAGTTATACATAAACAAGCTATTTGACAGCGATTTGGAGGAGTGGATGGTGGAGCAAGAATTGGGGGGCGTAGGGAAGGAGAAAGTCTAGAATATCACAGGGATACCACGTCAGTGGTATCCCGAACCAATAACAAAGCAACATCTCAGCAATATGGATACATCTCATCAATGTAACGGGAGGGAGCATTTAACGTGAAATGATGAAGCGTTAACGTCGTTAACAAAAAACTGGAAAGTCTGCGCTCAAAAGCTTATTCCCTCCAATTTATTTCCCTTTCTTTTCTCATGTTTAACATTCCATTACTCCTCCACATTTAAGAACCCTTTTTTTTTTTTTTTCATTTTCTTTTGGCCGTCAACATTTAAGCTTTGTTTTTCTTCCTCTGTTTCATTCTTAAGGAACTCAAAATCTTAGCTTAGATCAATTAAGCAAGTTTTTCATTTTCCCCATCCCTTTTAAATTTTATTATTTGGTATTTATCTTAATTATAAGTTCTTGTTTGTAAAGTTTATTGAACAAAATTTAAAACTAAAAGGGGTGTTTGGTAAGGGAAACTTTTCACTTAAAACTCTCTGAACTTTTTTTTATTATAAAGTTATTTATGTATTTTCATTCATTAATATTACAACAAAATATGGATAAGAGTAAAATTTTTAACATTCATTTTTTCTAACGCAATTCTCAATCTTTAAAGTTTTCTTTTCACCTATTTTGCAAAAAAAATATTTTCTTATAACCATCCTTATATTGGGCATACTTAACAACTTTCTTTACTAACTTTTCACATATCAATTTCTTGTCGAACACAATAAAATTAATAATCAAACAAAATTTTAACAAAATTTCATTACAAAATTTAGTAACTTTTTATACAATACTTTATAATTTTTTGTATAATAC